AAAAAACTTATCACCAGATGAAGTTTTGTTGGTGCAATTAATGTTATAAATAAAAGTCAATACTAATAACAGTTTTAAATGCATATTTTTGCTATTTAAAGCATTTTTTATAAATTGGTTGGCTTCACTTCACAATCACTTTTATTAATTTAGTTCATTTTAATAATTCGAGTCTTAAAATATTTTTTCACAGTATAGAATGACTGACACAATTGTTCTGATACAATTTAATGGCACTAATTAAGACTTAAGATATTTTAAATTGCCTCGAACGATATGCGTTCATTGACAAGAAGAGACAAAAGTCCATCATTCATAATATTAACATTGAAATGAATTTCAAATATCAATTATTAAGATCATATACACGACATACGACATAGGCGTAGGATGAAATAATTTATTTATAACTAGTGGTGCCTAAAAACAAATTGCTGGAACTTTCTGTACCGTAATGAAATATTCGAAGAAATTTAAATGTTTTCAAATAGATTATTATAAGTAGTGTAACCTTATTCGAATTCTATAAACAAAATAGAAGTACAATCAAGTTTATATAACTTACAACTAGTTTAAACTATATTTCCATCCAATTTTATTAATAATACTTAATAATATGGTATAAAATTAAATTCCAATTTTTAAAAACAAGAGAGAACATATAAATGGTTTGTAATTCGTATTGAATGTTTTTAATTTTTGTTGTTGTAACTATTTTAAAGTTAATTAATTTTTTGCTACTAAATTAAATTAGTAAAGTTAATTATTCATTATCCGTTTGAGCAAAAAAAATGAAATTTGCAATATATATCTTTTACAATAATTATCATTCGATTTTTATTAATTCAATTATTGTTCATTAGTAGGTTTTTAAAAAACCGAAACTTTTTTCTAAATTAATACAAAGTATCCGATTTAAACCAAAACGTAAGCAAAATGATTTTGTAATAATATTTTAGGTTCAAATAGTAAAGATAACAGAATTTGCAACTTGAATTTTTAAACTTTTAACACTAAAATAGTTAATATAAAAACAAACCCAAATCGATAAATGGGAAAAGTTAAGGATAGAAATTGAAAATTCTAAGCCTACGTTACAAATAAAATTGCAATTAAATAAGTTTTCTTTTAACACTAAAATAGTTTTTCTGAACACTAAAATATTTGACATAAAAACAAACCCAAAGATTAACTTCTTAAATTTGATAAATAGCAGAAGTTAAGAATAGAAATGAATAATTCTAAGCCTACGTTACAAATAAAATTGCATTTTACGTGTTATTTTTACAAATCTGAAATTTATCGTCTAGCACAATTAAATTAATCAACGACATAATATTGTATTTTTTCCGTAACTTATCAACTATATAAATTATTTTTTTATAATAATTTTCTTCTAAACGGGCGCCTTTGTATAATTTTTATTCCCTCAATTGCACATTGCAAATAAAAATCGGTTGCGCAACATTTGTTATTATATGTCAGTCGGTCAATTGAAATTATAAATGATTATAAAACGAACTGTTTCAATTTAAAATCGAACTAAATTAATTTTTATAGCTATTTTTAAATAAAGAATATTGAAAAACTTTTGTGAACGATTTTTAAAAATTAAAGTTTTGCTCATAAATTAATTCTGAAAAACAAAAACTCTGAAACGATTTGAAAAATCGGAGAAATAAAGATATAAACCGATATTATAATTTTTGATAAAATCAATCAGATGATTTTTAATAATAATAATATTTATTGTTATACTAGATATTATGTAGAGTATAAATTTATAAAACATGAGTTTTTCGTACCACAGTCTTTGTTTCAAACAAATTGATAACAAGCAGTAGTGATAAAAAACCACAATAAGCTTTCAAGTGTTTCAAAATAGTCTGAACAATTTTGCAAATATATCTTCCAGTTTGATTATATTAACAAAATATGGACAAACAAATATTGTTAATATAAATTATATTATATTGAAGAAGTACTCTTTGAGGTTTTATTGTTTTCATAGAACCTTATTGTCTATACCAAATCATACAACATATCCTAATACACTTGCAATAAAATGGTTCTGTTTTGGATTTTCTAGTAATTGTTCACAAATATGTTAGATGATAAAATAAAATTTGCCGGGTCAGATAGTATATATATATGTTAGCAACTTTGAATATTCGCGCCAGCATAGATACCAACATTAAGTCTATGCTGTATCTTGTACATACTTCATATAAGTCGCCATGTTGTTTTGATTGTCATGTAAATAAATAAATAAATATTCGGTCTTACTTAACTAGACTCGGAGGCGTAAACATCTAAATGGTAATAAATATCCTGACATAAGATTATTGGTTGTTATCATTATATGTGTGTATTATATTAACGTGTGATTTAATTTCAGTTAGCCAGAGTTGAGGTATTTGATCTGTGTGATAAATACTGAGTGAATGTTAAAGTTAAGCATCTAACATATATATATATATAATATATATATTTTTATATAATTTATATATATATATATATATATATATATATATATATAATAATGTCCTAACTTCATCAAATAAAACCACAAATATTCCCAACAAATACTTTTATTCCTATATACAAATAGAAGAAAAATTTCACATAATTAAATCATTTCACACTTTGGAAGATTAAGTAATACAACTATATATACTTGAAATAGTTTTTTATAATTAAAACTTAATCGATGACTAGAGAAAAATGTTTACCTTAAACCTATGACTAGAAATTTGTAATTTTTTGGCAAATTTAGAAAAAAACGGAGGACATTTATTGGAAGCACCTCCACAAAAAAATTAGCACTTTTAAGTCTTAGCTAAATTTATATATGTTCCCAATTTCGTGGTCTTTACAAACACGTAAGATTAAAGAAGTTTTTTGTAAATGCAATATATATTGTATATTTTGTAAAGAAATTGCTTGGAAAAAATGGAACAATAAAACAAACACGCTGTTGTATTTTAAATGAGATAAAAACATAAAATAAATAAAAATATAAAATAAATATAACTCACCTCTGATACTCTGAATAATGAAGCAATCCTAAAATAACATAAACATATAACAATAATAAAAATAATAAAATAAATTAACAAATATAATTTGTCTTTTGATTAAAATTAATTACGGGTGTAAAATGTTTTTGAGATTCAGGCATTTCCATTAAAAATACCATCAAATGTTTGTTGTTCTCGAATATTATTAAAATGATATTAAACCAAATTGCAAATGCAAAACCGTAGATAATTTAAATTAAAAATAAAATATTTTGATTTGTATAAAACTGATGGCTCAAAAAACTATATCAAGAAAAGAAGAAAGCAACTCCACTTGTACTAATATTATATACTTGCATGTTAACACGTTCGCGCCCAGAAAAAGTTTCAGCAAAGTACAAAAACTGACAAAAATTGATTTTATTTTTAAATTGGTTGTGATGTCCGAAATTTGCTTAAATAAAAGTAGACAGATTATTATGTTTTGGTATTTATATACCATGAATGCTATAGCATCCACGTCAAGTATTGTGCTTCTATTTTCCGCAATTTGTTTGCCCAAGATAATTAGTGACTACGGGAAAGGATGAGATAGTGAGAAAATACTATTATATTTTTACTCGTTCTTTACCAGATGAATGCTATAGCATCCACGTCAAATCAGTGACTATGAAATAAAATGCAGTTACAACTGAAAAGTAATCTTGCACGTTAACACCTTAGCGCCCAATAAAAGTGTCAGTAGTCGGATTATCAGATTTGAATGAATGCTATAGCATTCACGTCAAATTAGAGACTATGTAAAAAGATGCAGTTTCAACTAAAAAGTAATCTTGAACGTTAACAAGTTGGCGCCCTTTAAAAGTTTCAGTGTTCGGAGTATCATATTTCAATCGTCATATACTCGATGAATGCTATAGCATCCACGTCAAGTATTACACTACTATTTTCCGCAATTTTTTGGCCCAAGGTATTTAGTGACAAGGGAAAAAATAAAATAATACGGAAATAATATTATCATATTTTAATCGCTAAATACTAGATGAATGCTATAGCATCCACATCAAGTATTACCCTTGTATTTTTCGCAATTAGTTTGCCCAAGGTAAGTAGTGACTACTAGAAAAGATAAGATGATGTAAAAGTACTATTATCATATTTTAATCGGTATATACTGGATGAATGCTATAGCATCCACATCAAGTATTACCCTTGTATTTTTCGCAATTTGCTTTGCCTAAGGTAGTTAGTGAAAAAAGATAAGATAATAAGAAAGTACTATTATCATATTTTAATCTGCGATGAATGCTATAGCATCCACGTCAAATATTACGTTTCTCAAGAAAATTAGGGATTATGGAAAAAAATGAGATACAATGAAAATACTTAAAAAATCAGTTTGTCATAACCTAGACAAGTGTAATAAAATTAATATAATTGACTTTTAAATTTGAATGCTATAGCATCCACGTCCGCAAACGTGTTAATTCAATTACACCGATGACCTAAATTTGCAACCTTAATCCTTTACCAATATCATAACCTTATAGTTTTCAATATATAAAAACTTACTAACAAACTTAAAATTTTTCTAACTTCATTAAAGTTATATTTGGAAGCTGCTGCAATGCCCACATTGCAAAGCGATTTCTCACAACAGGAAGTACAAGCGTACAATTTTGTCCGTTCTCCAATAACGATGCAACCGGGTTCACAAATTTTGGTGCAATTTCTTTCTAAAGCCCAAAGTTTGGGAGCCGAAGTCGAATTTGCTGTACTTGTGGTGTAGGATACTCTTTTGACCTTAAATAATGATAAAATAATTTTAGGTATAGATTTAATTTATTGAATAAACGTAGTATAAATTCTTACCATGCAAACTCTTCTGTCGTCTTTACATTTTTTTATCGTGCTGCTATGGTTAGCAGATACATCGACACATTTATCACCATCTTCCATGGAATCACATTGGTAGCACCACAGATCGTTTACTCGTTCCACGGCTGCTTGAGTTCTGTGCTCACGACTTGTTAAAGATTGACCTAGAGGATAAAAAAATATTTAGCATAGTGTATGGGTATATATAATATATATATATATATATATATATATATAACATATATATATATATATATATATATATATATACGTTTATATAAGGATAAAAATTACTTTTTTTTACATCTACACGTAAGACTTTAAATCTTTATAGAGTATCCATGATATACAAATAGACCTTCGAATGACTTTAGAGCACTTTTTCTGTTATTATACATAATGTACATTAAGCAATATATAGATAATAATGTAAATAAGTTCTTGCAAAGTCCCCGAAGAAATCCTGTCATACTCCGAGATAACACAATTAATAAACTACAAATTAGACATTAATAAACATGACATATACAATTCCTAATTCTTAAATCATTGAAACCTAACTTAACTTACTCCTAGTTAAGATATTATTACTAATAATTATATTGCATAATATTTACCCCATATATTTGTGGTTAGTTCTGAAACTACCACTATTAAAAACACCCAATTAAATGTCGCTCCCATTCCGAATGTATTTCTTTTGTTGATCACATAATAATTAGCAATATATTACACCATTTTAAGTTAATTTATCAACAAATGCATTTTAATTCTCAAATTTTGTCTAAATGTCCTTTTGCAAGATGCAGGGTAGCTGTCAAAATTGATGCAAAAGGATGCTGACAGATGGCAGTACGGTGGAGGATAAAAGTGGTTGAATAAAATATAAAATTTAGATTTAAGAGAGTTTAATTTTATGAAAATATAAGTTGTAATTTATTAATCTTGCATGTATAATTTACACGGTGGTATTTATTTTGTAAATAAACTTGTATTTCAATTATCAGTTTTTGAATTATATATTTTGAAGTAACCAACTTCATACATGTTGTGAAAGATGACAGCACGGTACAGGATAATTATGTTTGAATAAAAATTGAAAATATTGATATAAATTATTAACTTTTTTTAAAATACAAGTTATAATTGATTCATTTTGAATATAAGCTAAAGTTTTCCAAAAAAAAAACCTTGTGTAATTATCCAAAAAAAATTTTAGTTTAAGTCAGTTTTTGAATTTTTCTAATGTCGCCAACTTCACACATGTTTTACAAAAGGACCAGGAACTGTCAAAGCTTTTTTTAAACTGTCAACGTAATGTTATTAGATTTCTTTAAATGGTTTAAAAACGTATTTATATATGGTAAAACAATTATTATAATACTAATTTGTGAAATAACTAGACATTTGTGAAGACTTTAGCATAATATACAGTGTTTAAGTATAATCAGTGTTTTAAAATATAAGAATTTTATATAAACATACTTGCAACCGCTAGACGCCATTTTGTGTTTCATTTCACAAATCGTGAGTATTGACATTTTAATATTTTATTATCATATTTATTATAATATATAATTTAAAATCGATCAATGTGTGCAAAAAATCCAAAACTAGTTTAAAATTATTCATAATTCATTTCTCAATTGTTGTTTGCACAAAACTAGTTAACAAGATTCCCAGTCCATATATTTCAAATGTCATTGCAGGTAAAATAATACTATTTTACTTTCAAATATATATAGTTTCTTTATAATATCATTACTATCGTGAATGAGTTTATTAAATTATAAATTTCTAACACTGAATTTTATCTTAAAAAAGCTGGCAATTGAATATTCAATACTAAGTACTTCAACCACTATATTTATCATATTTGTGGCATATTTGTTGATAATTTAATTTTGAGGTTAAGTAGTAGTTGATTAAAAATTACGATAAAAATAGTTAGTTATAGTAAGAAAAAGGATTTATATCATAATTTTTAAAATTGATTTAAGATTGTGGGCTGAAACGTGGTTTATTACACTTTTTTGCTAATTACAAAGAAACGGCTTGGCTGGTCTTAGTGCAAAACTAATAAACGCTACACCTTATCTTGGTGCAAATCTGACTAGCCCCAGTCTTTATCGAGTTACATCGAAAATGCTTTTTAAAATTTCAAAATCGGTTCAGCGGTTTTTGAAAAAACGTTGAGGAAAGGCAAAAATCGACTCACATATATATACACACACACACACCAAACTTTGATTTTTATGCAAATTTGCTCTCATTCGATTCAGAATGACTTAAAACGTCGAAAAAACATAAAAGTAGCAAATCGGATTTTTGGCGAAATCATAAGTTTTTACTTTGGGGAGTTATTAAAATTTGATGTACATCAAATGTTATGATTATATATTCATATTATCCATGTACATAAACATGTATATATGTTGTGTATTCTGAAACACTCCAAGACCCTTAAGAATCCAAAGTTTGTTAATTAGAGATAAATTGCAAATATTCTGCAAACAACAGGAAAACTTTTAAGCAACTTCTCGTTTTGTTCTACAAGTAAAGTCAGGAGCAATAATTTAAGTTTTTGTGGTTGAAACTTTTCTAACAATAAGGATTTGTAACAAAAAACGTTAAGCAGACCTTAATTTTTTTTAAAAAAAATTCAAACGACATAGAATTATATTTTTGATAATTATTATGAGCAGAAATGAATCTCAATTGAATACTTACAACTTCAAGTTTTAAATAGTTTATTAAGCAATATGGTGTTTTCGGAGTACCAAGTTTAAAGTATTTTTTGTGTCAAATTTTGTTCCAAAAGTTTAAAAATTGAGTATGCAAGGTTTTAGTGAATTTAATAAGCTTTTGAATGATATATAATATTTGTTACATGTTGGAACAAGTTATAAACAAAATAATACTAAAACTAAAAAAAAATGCACTAAAATGGTGGATTTCTTATACAAGTAAAGTCAAGAGAAACTTTAACTTTTTGTGGTAGAAACTTTTCTACAACACATATTTGTAAAAAATCGATCTGAATAGGATTCAAAATATGGAAAAGTTTTATCCATGTATATTTGTATAGCTTTCCTTGAGACGTCGAGAAAATATAAAATTAGCAAATCGGATTTTCTGATATTAGTTGAATCATCATAATAATATTACAAATTTGGAAATAGTAATGAAACTTATTTCTGTAAGCTTTTTATCCAAGTTTTTGTTATTATTTAGAATTGTTTTATATCACGATTTCAAAACGTTTACAAGTTTATTTCTCCTATTCGAGAAAGTGAAAACTTTTTGCATAAGAATTCAAGACACGTTCTAAGAATAAAAACAACTTCGATAATTTATTTTTCGTGTCTCGGGGCATTTCCATGCTTTTATTGAGAGCATCTAATACCTGTAGCCTATATTTATATATAAGGGCCTTATATAGCCTTGAGAAATAGAAAAAGTTGTAATATATCCATATTTCCATACATTGATTTATATTTAGAAATATTTTGAAAATATTTATTTCAACACGTACTAGTTATTATATATTAAGGTGAAGCTCATTAAATTCAGAAAAATTCTGTATATTTGATTTTGAAAGTTTTGGAATAAAATTTTACACGAAAAATACTTTAAAATTACAGTTTTCAGAACGCCACATTGCATAGACGTTATTAAACGACTACTTGTGATCTGGTGCATTTTTTTCAGTTTCAGTATTAATTTGTTTATAACTCATTCCAACACATATTAATTATCATACAAAATCTGAAAGCTTATAAAATTTACTAAGACCTTACATACTCAATTTTTAAAATTTTAGAACTAAATTTTACACAAAAATACCTTAAACTTGGAATTTACAAAACACCATATTGGTCATAATTAATTTTGTGCATTTTTTAGTTTTTAAACTTTTAGGTTAAAAATTGTTTATAATTTATTCAAAGACATAATAATTATTATACATTATTAGAAAGCTTATTAAATTCACAAAAAACCTGCATATTCAGTTTTTAAACTTTTGAAACAAATTTTGATACCAAAAAATTGCAAACTTTAAATAAAATACGAGCAACACGTTAAATTTGGAGTAGAACAGTTTTGTTGCATTCGCATTTGACCTTTTATTATTTTTGAGTTTCTGCAACTAGCCCAAAGGCAAAATTTAGATTGTTTCTAAATTTATATACATATATTTTGCTATATCTATTTTTATCAAGATGTTATATCGTCTTGTATGTAGATATGAATCGTCTCGACCTCTAAGGATTTTGTTGACTCGAGGATTAGTTCGGCCATGTGATAGAATCTATCCCTTTAGGGTTTCTCTATTGACACTGGAATAAACTTTGACATGCAAATATGATTCTGGATATTCGAAATCGTATGTACATATTAGAAACAAACTCTACATTGGTTAAAAATTTTATTTGAAGAATTATTGTAACATAGATTTTACTTATATATGGTGCAACATTAAATTGCATGAACTTCCTGATACGTGTAAAAAATCAATTTAAATTTTTATTGAAGAGTAATCATGTCCCAATAATCTTTTCTCTTTGCTTTGAAATTGAAGCAATTTTTCTCAAAGGCGAAATATAATTACAGTTTCGCATCAAATATATATTTAATATAAAAAGCAAAATAAAATCCATTTCTGTTTTAGAAAAAAAAGTCCTGGCATGGCTCGCGTATTGAATATCTTTTGCAATTTACGCTTTTATATTGCTTTCAAGAGCAGATGCTCTACTATCGATAATAATTCTATTGATACGATATCGGAAAATATCGATACAAGTATCGTTTTGATATCGATATAATGACGAGGCCAGAAATGCACCAGAAGGAAAATGCAATTAGAAATGGAAACAGTTTGTATTTGTTACTGACTTTCCGAGAAAAAAATTTAAGTTTTTGCCAGAAAATCGGACTTGCAATATGCATGCATACATGCATTGCTTCGTATCTCCGAAACGGCTGGCCCTGCCTTGGCTAAAAACTGATCAGCACTAATCCCCATAAGGAATCGAATTTTGACTCATCCAAATCGTTTGAGCCAAAAACGTCGACAAAAAATTGTATCCGTACTACATACACACACATCCATTTTTTGTGAAACATAAAGATATGCAAAAATTTTCAATTTTGATTTTTGACG